CGCTCAAATTTTCAGGGAACGTGTCAAATTGATGTATGATAAGGTACTGTAAGTTTGACGTCGCTGACGTAACGCGTTTAGAAGTTATTGGCGAAAAACGGGAGGGGGGCAGATTCTGCCCCCCCCTGCGGGGCGCGGGTTAATTTTACTTTTTCTTGCTGATATATGAGCCCGATCATCTTGCGTTTATCAACCAAAATTTCATAACTTGTTCAACTTGATATTGATATTGCTCAGGAGTCAGGACCTCTGTCAGCCTCCTGGATACTTCGGATTGTTTTCAGTCAACATGCTTCTTAAATATGATATAAGTCAATCTTAAGGGATTCAAAACATCCAACAAAACGACGTACAAGAGCAAGAAAACCACCAGATAAACTAAAAAATGGCCTTGGAACAGAGCCAAGTGGTGCTCCATTTGTTTGTTTACAATGATTGTAGTGCTGATGTATTTTTAGGACTCTGAACGTCGGCTTATAAAAAAATAAACGTTTTTACAAAAGTTGTAAGGCAAGTAATATTTATCTGAAAGAACTAAAATATTCAAAAGCCAAACATTATGAAATACATGACACGGAACGAAAAAGTAACCCAAAAATCCAGCCTAATCACCGGCTCCTAAAACTGCAACAAAACCAGCACTTTTCCCCGCAACTCGTTGTCCAGACGTAAATATGCTTCCTAGCTTGGCTACTTCGAAAGTAATTCGAGAAAAAAATCTTCATATCTAGCGCCGCCATTTTTACTTTTTTATCCCTGTGACGTCATCTTTGGCCTGACCTGAAAATGACCTCCGTAAAATTGTAGACCTTGCCCGTGCATACCCCATGCCGTTTACCGCTTGTCGCTATCTTGCTTCGTTCTCGAGATCTCAGGGGATCTGCCCTCCCCCCCCCCCCCGTCGCGTCGGTGCGAAGTTTGCGCGGACGCCCGTCGGTGCGCGGGTTAAGCATATCTCAGATCCCCTGCTAACGTTTAGACACATCAATGTCTTTTCACAATGTGGAGCATGTACACTTACAGCACTATCGATGGAAAATTGGTGTCCCTTATAACCATGATCATTGATCATCTGAGATAGGTAAGCCATTGTTTTACATATCTAAATGTTATCAAGATGCTACTGAATCGTATTCATCAGCGAACAAGGTGTTCAGCTCAGTCGTCATGGTTCACGGCAGTCTCAGCAAACTATGGTCATGGGGGAGACCGGGGCAAAACGGACAGCCTAACGTTTTTTGTTTGTGTTTTTCGATGACGGAGCTTCAATTTCTAACCTTGGAAGATTCCTCTTATGTCAATATGGTCCCTATTAAATTGCCTTTCAGTTCAACTTAGTTTTAGTTTTTAAGGCGATCACATGTTGGAGATATTGGCAAAACTTTAAACCGATGCATTTCTGCCATTTTGCCCCAAAGTCGGGGCATGGCGGACACTGGTGGTTTATTTGCATCGACATGAGAAACGGGGTAGTTGCCCCATGTACGACTGGAGTTTTGATGGCAAAGAAGTTTAAACGAGGAAGGGTGTTTATTTTTCATTTTGCCACCGTAGGTACACAATGCAAAAAAAGTTATGGATAAACGTTACATTGCATTTTTGGTAACCCATGTAATCGGAAAGTGGCCAAGATAAACGCATGATGACACATTTTCATACAAATAACGTGGTGTTGTCCACGTGGAACCAGCTTGTGGCCAATTTAGAGCTGTCCACTTTGCCCTGTCTCAGGGCAAAGTGGACAGCTCCGGCCGAGGGGAGGGCGGGTACGAGCCCCCCTCGCCGTTTCGCCCCTAGTGGAGCTAGCGCGTCGCGGAAAAAACGAGCATTGCCCCACTTTACCCCGCTTACCATCCGAGACAAATATATTCCAACCCAGTTATTAGTGGGGCAAAAAGAGTTACAAATTGGCAGAGGACATGTAGGTACGATCACTCAATGCAAGAAGGAGAACGTTTAAATAAACGTCCAAGCGATCATGGAATGAAATAGCATTTGAAAAGCACAAGAAGGGCTACCATCCTGGCAAGAAATGCCTTTCCATGAGTCTCGGGACCATATGACGACGGGCCTGAAATCCCGGCTTGGCTCATTCGAACGACTGCAAAGAAATTTACAATTGGCAACCAATATCTGTAGTTGACGCCAGTTGTGAATGGCAAAAATAAAACGCTTGGTGGCCACTTTACGCCGGCTGGCCGCTTTGCCCCGGTCTCCCCTACATGTTCGGGTTCTGCATGTATCTCACACCTTCCAATGCACACAATACGAACCATTTGTCATCCGAACTTTTTAGAACGTGTTTATCGCTAAGTGTTATCAGCCGTTTTCACGACGGTTTGGGTTACACAGATGCTTATTTATCTCATTTTTTCAAAGTATCCAACAATATTTTCGATTAACCCGCGCTCCGCTGGGCTATTCAGCCATACGCGCCCTGCTGGGGGGGGGGGGGGGGCAGATTCTGCCCCACCTGTCGAACTTCCGAACCGATGGTCGTAGAAAGACGGGGAAAACGGCAATCGAAAGCTCTCAATAAGGCGGATCTTAAGAGCCCAAATTTTTTGCTTAAGTAGGTCAGAGGTCAGGTCAAGGTCAGGTCAAGGGTACAAAATGCAAGTTTCTACAGTATCGGCCTTGCACCGTAGTTGCCGAAGAATGGACTGACACTGATCGCCCAAAACGTGTTCTTAGACTACCAAGACAATATTCGTTGAATACAATGTCATTCAAAGGTCAAGGTCAAGGTCAGGTCAGGTCAGGTCAGGTCACCAAAAACAAAATATAGAAAAGGGCATGTGCGACACATGTTTTATTGGTCATTTTACTCATAGAATTCAATAGGCACACTCAATAAGTGATATGGACCACCTCTGGATGAATTTCAGGTCGAGGTCAGGTCAAGGTCAGGTCAAGTGAGGTCAAATTTTGAAGTTGGTTGTTAAGGCCTAAAAAGGTGTCTATCTGATGCAGTTTTTCACGGCGAATCGAAAGGAGCTATTTTTGTTTCCGTACGAGGTCTAAAACTTCCAAAAAAAAAAATCATTTTTCAAAATTTTTGTGTGTCGTGACGTCATGAAATTTTGAATAACTCCCACATTTTTTGAACCGATTCTTCTAAAAATTGGTATGTAGGTGCACATAAACCACATCTCTGAGATCTATTCCGGTTTTTATCGATACATTCAAAATTTCGGATTTTATGATTATTTTCCCAAAAAAGTCAGTTTTTTTTAAGAAAAAAAATTGGGCCAAAATCCAAGTTTTCAAAAAACCGAGATAGCCATTTGATAGACAAAGTAGAATTACGTATAACCTTTTTTGTTACTTCTTGATTCCTTTAAAAATGAAGATGTTAGCGGCGTTTGAAATTTTGCCGTTTTTGAGGCGAAAATGGCGAACATGACGTCACTAAAACGTCAATTTCTCAAAAAAAAAATCCGACGGATTTCGCTCAAATTTTCAGGGAACGTGTCAAATTGATGTATGATAAGGTACTGAAAGTTTGACGTCGCTGGCGTAACGCGTTTAGAAGTTATTGGCGAAAAATAGGAGGGGGGGGCAGATTCTGCCCCACCCAGCGGGGCGCGGGTTAAAGCACTGAAGTAAATTCATGATATAAAGATATTTAATATAAAACAGTTTTGGTGCAGATTTGGTCAAATTACGTTCATTCGCGAGACAGCCCGTCGTGAAAACGGCTATTGTTTGTTACTTTGGCCGGAAAATTGTCTTAAATCATGTCTTGAAAAGCATTTAATGATCTGTTTCAAACAAATCCTATGAAACGTATCAATTAACAAATGCATGAACCTCAATGGTTCGAGCCATGCATCTCTGTGAAAATTTACTGTGCGTAATGGCTTATTCAGACCTAACGGTTCATGCCTCACATATTCTTGCCATTACAGGTATAACAGCTTTGTGCCATCATTGCGCTCCGACCGCGCAATTATTTGGACCGCATGCCAAAGCTTGTGGTCTGCGTACGGCATTAATCATCATTCCTTGACTTGGATTACAAACAACCTATGTAGATCCGGGCTGATCGAATTTTGTCACTGAGATCACCAGCGCCGTCGATTGTTTCATAATACTTGTACACATATGATATTTTGCCAATGTTGAAAGAAAATGTCCATCTGCTGTAAAACACAGTCTTCCTGGATTTCCACTTTCTCTGTTACCTTTAAAGCCTTAGGTCATATCTAGTCAACACCGAGCTTATCTCTGAGGAAACATCTGCAACGTCCTGTCTCATCTCAATCCCTGTGAGCTCAGTAAGTTCCAGCGTCATCCGTACAATATTTCAGCTGGCCTCGTGTTTCACAATTATCTCACTCAACAGCACCGATTGCCCAAAGCGTCTAAACGTCATGATATCGGCATAGAATTTGTAAGCAATCGACAAAGTAGCTTATTCAAAATCACCTTCGATTGCAATGGATGTGCACTGTGCACTAGCCGCTTATGACGGTCAGCTGCCTCGGCGTTACAATGAGCTGCTACCGCTGGTTTCGTGCTTGTGGTTTGTATGGGTAAGCGAATCTGTTAAGACTTCTATGATAAGCATATCTGATCAATCATTACCTGATGTGACTAGAAATCCTTTTCGATGTTGGCTTATGAGTCATGCGCAGCTGTTATGAATGAGCACTGAACTGTTTGTTTTGAAGCATCGTAGTTACGAGTATGCAGCTCAACACAGTAAAGGTTCACTTAATCATTTAAGATGTTTATGTATTTTTTTCGTCATTTGATTTCAGTCTATAATGAATGTTTCACAACATGCATCACTTAAACGTTGTGTAGCTTGTAGGTATGATAGTGACGACCTTTTTAGTTAAATTTATTAATGTTTCTTGAGAGGTACAACCAAATGAGCTCATTTTGTGCTTGCTGTAAGCTGTTATCCCGTCAAATGTGCGCTGGAAGGTGGAATGAGCCCAATTCGGTATGCCTTTGCGATAAGCCTAATCTAAACCAACATAACACTTCAGTTTTCGGGTATTTGTTGTATATTTATCAGAGACAATTGGATGCACGTGGATGGTGGAGGAGCTAATCAAAATGTGAAAGCAAGAGCATGCAAAGACCACTGCTTTTTATGGTAAACACAAATATGATATGCATTGGGTGTGGAGTAGGGAATGTCACCACGAGTAAATACATGGTATCCTCACATATGATATGAATACCTTTTGATGATTCATGCAACGAAATGATTCTGTTGCTTGAAGTTGATGAAATGATGATTCTGTCGACGAAAGAGCAGCACTGTTCGGAACAGGTAACCAATGAGTATCACACAACCACCATTGTCTGGCAGTCATGGTTTAGGTTTGCACACAGAACAGCAAGCTTGCACACACATAACCCGATGAGCAAGTAAACACCCACAATGACATGTGCAGACACCCAACTTCTGGCCTTCAGCCTACCCACTTCTAATAATAACCTCCGTAAGGAATGGGGGCGGGCCCGTAGCCGAAACCACCACCGTGGCCGAAACCGCCACCCTTGCCGAAACCACCTCCGTGGCCGAAACCGCCACCCTTGCCGAAACCGCCACCATAGCCGACGGCGTGTCCCTTGCCGTAGCCGCCGTAGCCGTGGTAGACCGGCACTGGCACATAGCGGTGGATGACCGGGACGTGGACGACGTGGACGGACTGGTAGCCGCCGCCGCCGCCGCCCTTGCCCTTAGTGGCCACACTGTCGAGCGAAAGAGACGCCAGGTTACCATGGTGATGTGATGATGTGGGAGACAGATAAAAAGGTGATGTGCTCGGAAAGGTTTTGAAAAAATGTGATTGAGTTTGGCTGCTCAAATGGTTTAGTTAAATCTATCTGAGCGTTTACAAAGCAAAAAGTATTAAAAGGTTCTAAGATAGTGCATTGGATAATTGTGATACTAGACTCGTGTTCATTTTATCACCAGCCCAAGAACTTACGTGCATGACACTGCGGCGAACAGAACGCACACGGCCAGGAGAGCGCTGATCTGTAACGAGGAGAGACTTTGGTCAGGACAAAATATAAGTAGCACTCAGAGTAACTCAGTTGGGAGGGAAACCCTGATATATCATTTCAAACGGGTATCTACTGTTGCTCTCTTCGGTAGCGTTATGCTAAATGCAAGAATTTGGACGAATTGTGGTCACCGTTGCAGAGTAAGGGGCCAGTTTACACGAGCAAACGGCCATTCCACTGCTCCGTTCACCACAGATTGCTCAGGCACTGGTGGTATTCTTTCCCGTTCGCTTGGGATTAGTTGCACAGTCGCATTGCACACTAGAAAACACCGTTGATAGCACTTGTTCACAAAGAGCCGGTCTCGCTTCGTGTAGTTACCGTCTTCATGTTGCTGGATGGACAAGCTTGAGCTGAATGACAATTGAAGTCGCGGACAGTCTTTTATACCAAGTGGTTAACGACCCTGAAACCAACAACTAGCTCATAATTCCGAATAAGCTGGATGCGGCCAGTAATTATTGCGCTAAATTGTGGTGCCGTCGGTTTTGCGCCATCAGATAGTGGTTGGGTCATAGGGAGCAAGTGACAATGCAATATCACGATATTTCGACCTCTATCGAGGTGTAGCTGGGCGCTGACGAGGTGGTGATTTTTGCCGACCTCGGGACCACACCGGTTAGACTAAAACCCAGCCCAGATGGCGTAACGTCCGACGGACAATCGTAAGCAGGTTTGCTAGCCCACCATTGCTTGACTGAGGGAGTGGGAAAGAGGCGTTTAATGCCCCGTGCCGACTTTTTGCGATAATTCAAGAAATAATCACGTGATCGACTTGAAATTTGCTATAGCTTCTCCTGCATCGATTTTCACATTAGGATTTGAAGATTTGATCGAATTCATCGATAACAAATTGAGTTAAGGCCGATTTTGTGACGCCACTATACACGCCAGTTTCGACCATTAAGTGTGTACGTACCTTCTGTAAGCTCTCTAAAGTGGGTAGGTATCTTGTGACAGAGTTGCAGATAAATTCACTAAGGCCACCAAATAAAGTGCTCTACAAAATGGCCATCTCAGATTCTCAAGCCATTTGCTTAAAAAATTATTTAAAATGAATATAAATGACAAGGTTATTTGAAGCGAAGAGCTGTGCCTAATCTTAGCAGGATATCTCAATATTTGATCCCAAATGTAATATCTTACCAGTCTCAGTATTGTGTCCAAAGACTGCACAATTATTTCTAATGTCATTTTTTGACCCTATGTGCATCGTGCAAAGAAGCAAATGGCACCTTAAGATTCCTTAGATCAATCCGTATCTAAGAGGCACTTTTTTGTTGAAGTTGTGCAGCTTCAAAATTTGACATTTTTACCTGACCTTGACCTGACCGTCACTCGTACTTGCTAAAAATGATCTCAAACGTCACGGACGATACAAACATTGAGCTCTATGGCCAAAACTGGTTGGAAAACTTGTGTCACATGCCATTTGCATAATTTTACAATCAGTAACCTCTCTTGACCTGACCTTGACCTGAAAGATAGTTATTTGTGATTTCAGGTTTCCCATAGTAGCTTCAGTGATCTATTAGTCGTATTCAAGCCAAAATTGGACTCGATATCTTTCATACAGCTTTCGCTAGTGCTCAAAACGTGGCCATGCTCCATTTTGACCTTTGACCTAACCTTGACAGGTCACGTGACCTCAAGTTCCAAATTTCAGTATTGTATCGGTTGTCTCGGTGAGGCCTTTCCAGCACCGCCTCGAGCGTCTCGCTGCGATGATTTTTTTTTTTTAGATAACCTGGGGGCCCCCTCAATCAATGGTGTTCGGCTGGAGGCTCAGTCAAGCGCGGGTTGACCCGCGCCGCACAGGGTGCGGACTCAGACTGCGGGTATTTTTTAGCCCACTCTCGTTTTCTGCGATATCTTCTAAACCGCTAGACGTATCAACACAAAAATTGCAGTATCCCCGGCTGAATTAATTTGACGCCGTGTATCGAAATAAAAAGTTCGTAGCTACTGAAGGTCGGCCAGAAATGACGTCAGAGTGACGTCATGTTTGACCGATTTTGATGCAAAACATTGAACTACGGTAATCACTCTCAAGGGCTCAGTTTGTAGGCTAGATCCAATTTATTTGCTTGAGAGGGTTCATAATACTCAGAGCTACCAACGTTTCATCTCGGATGTTCAAAATTTGGAAAGTTAGAATTTTTAAGTCAGAAAACATATTTCTTAAGTTTCCCTTTTAAGTTTTTGACGTTTCAAAAAACGGAATATATGTATTTGATAGAAAACATACATATGATCTACTGCTACTCTACAAAGCGTTGGCCCGATATCTTCAAATTGACTAAATTATAGGCGTTTTGTGCTGAAAATTTCACCATTAATATTTTTTTAATTCCCTTTTTGTACGTTTTTGACGTCCTAGAGCAAAATAAATAGCATTATCGTGTTCCTGAGCCATAGGCGTCGCCAGAGATTTTCGGTTGGGGGGGGCAAAATCAACTTTTGTGTTAAATCTTGCCTTTCCCCAGTCGTTACTCAATCGTTTTACATATCATTCGACGCGCAATGGTGTGAGGAATCCGATGGTGACAAAGTTTTCCTTCTATCTGTGACATGTCATTTTTTACAGAAAAAAATGAAATTTTGAAATTTCTCGACAAAAACGACCGGTAGAATTACAGCGGCTGCGATTGCCGACGCAATGCAGAGGGCCCCTGTGCATACTCGTCGCTCATGATCATTACCCAGAAAAGGGTGAAAAACGCTGCATTTAATCGCATCACCCTGCTAAAACCTCCATTCACGCATGTATGCAGAGGTTTTACGTGAAATGCATAGGGCTTATCCCTGCCGCCGATCGTAGCTAAGTTGGGCATTCGGCGGAGACTGAGAGTGAATGTCGGAAGTGTGAATCAGAAATTATCCATTTTTGTTCCAATGAGAGGAAATGTTTTGTTCACTCGAGTGTGAACAAAAAGTTTATCGTTATTCGCGTGAAGGGAAGCGCTGTAAACGGGAACAAAAATGTTTAACGGAACCAAAAGTTACGCACGGCATAGCGGCAAGGGATCCCTTAGAAATAGGCTTGGGACTTCCAGGCCATTTCAGGCCACTCATGGTCAGTGTGGAATGTGGATTCTCAAAAGCCTGCTTAGGATCCCGGAGATCGGCGTGGGTCACCCCAAATATTTACGAGTATGTGGTGCTTTAGGTCTTTCCGAGCCCAAGGTGGAGCCCTAAGAAGCCAGTGTGGGCGCCGGGCGCTTAGAGACTAGGCCCAGGGTGAGCCTGGAGCCCTCGGATACTAACGTATGCACCATCGGGGTCTGTGTCAAATCCCTAAGGACCCTATGTAGGGACATTTGTTGCGGCCCTCAGAGGGACACGTGAGTTGTGACCCCTCAGACGCCGGCTTGGGGTTAGCAAAGTCTATCTCCTCAAAAGTTCAGCTGAGCTATCAGAGGCCAGTTCAGGTTCTCAGACATTTTCGAAGGCATCCTCAAAGATTCGTGTGGCCCTTCAGAGGTCTACGCATGTATAAGGTCCTCAAAAATCACTGTATGGGCCCTCAGAGAACATGGACACCACTGGGACTCTAAGAGGCCAGTTTGGGCCCTCTGAATACCTCTTAGAGCTCAGTGGAGCTCCTTAGGAGCCTGTGTGATAAGCAAGTCCATGAGCCCTGCGGCACTTGAACGGTGCTTGATCCTGTCGCAGACATTTGACAAGAGTTGAGAAAGGCCCCGAAGATTTCGTGTCACGCTTTGAACGAAAATTATGCGTCAGGCATCCAAAACTTATGAAAATCAGCTATAACATGTAATAAAGAACCAACTAGGAACATGGAATGAATCACAGCATTGACATTTCCGAGTCTGGAGTCGGAGTCTTGAAGATTTTGGGGACTGCGACTCTGACTCTGGTTTGAACTGCACGCTCCAACCGAGTCTGACCTCACAGGCATTCTCAAAAAGGTACCCCCATTTTTCCCGACTCCAAAATCTCATCGGATCTGTATCGATCTCAGGGGGTGCCCGGTCCGAGGTTGGGGGGGGGGGGGCAAGCTGCCCCGCTTGCCCCCCCGTAGCGACGCTAATGTCCTGAGCTTAGACTGCATTTGATAGACACCTGTGTTAAAAAATCTCAACTCCAAAATTTGACCATTTTGACCTGAAAGTGATCTTGCCTCGCCTAAATTCAGCTGAAAATGGCCTTAAGTGACACAGACAACACTGATTACGAAATCTATGGACTAAATAAACCATGAAGTATATGTCACGTCACCGATGCATGATATAAAATTTCCGTTACCTAGGATGACCTGGCCTTGACCTGAAAACCAAAGTACAAGTTTGGTACCCTCAGGGTATCTAAAGCATCTATTCACGAGTGTAGAAACCAAAAATAAGCCTGCTCTGAGTTGTAAGCTAGCGGCCAGTGCCCGCATTGTAAACAAGCAAAATGTTGATAATTTTTAATTTGACCTGACTTGTGACATCATCGATACTCTTGTCCTCTAAACATCAGGTTTTGCTCAACAGTTTTTCCAGGGCTATAAGACGCCATTTGCATTTTAATAATCAGCCCAGTAGTTTCGGAGTTTTCAGGTCAGGTGAAAGATGACGTCACAGGGGTCAAAAAAGTCAAAATGGCGGCAAAAGTATATGAGGGGAATTTAGAGCCAAGCTAGACTAATGGCACCATCGTGATCCTCTCGTTAATCTACATCGAATCATATAGATGTGTTGACCTCAAAAAGTCAAGGTCAAAGGTTGACTTCATGTCACGTAATCTCAAGGTCAACATGTATATCATTCGATGCGTCTTGATGACTGATGAGCTGAACACGAAGAGACCATCCACGCGGCTGAATCTTGTTCCTTTGAGCCGTGAGGAGTTATTAGCAAAAACCTTTGGTGACCCTTGATGACGTCACCTGACCTTACAGCTGCCCAAGAGCAAAAAGGTCCTCGAGGTAGTCAAGGTTGATCGTATATAAGGTCGTTCATGGTACGGGGACCCGCAGTTGCTACTGTACACGAACCCTAACTCTAGCCGTCTGTCCTGTCCAGTAGCAACCGATAACATTGATATCGACTGCCGGTCCCTGTACAAGAGCAGCTGAGGTTTTCTGTGCGTGCCCTCTGACAGCTTATTTTTGTTCCCTGTGAGTGTGCTGGGACAATTTACTCAGGGTCGCTGTACAGTAGCAACTGCGGGTCCCCGTACATTGGGCCGTTCCGACGCGTTTTAATGGAAAAACAGGGAGTTGATTTGTCCCCCATTGACCCCATTGGTAGGTAATGGGGAGTCAAGAAATTAACCTGACCTTGAAAGGTAGGAGGTTCAAACTTGCACATCATGTATAAAATTGAGGAGGAAAAGTCATGCTAAATTTCGCGGAGTCACGCGCCGCAGATTTTGCGCTATTTACGATAAACCTCAGGGCGGGGCGGTCAACCAACGTCAACCCCGTCGGTGCCCGGGTTAAAATAGAAATTCCAAGAAATTGCTGCAATGTGAGCATACAAAATTGACGCGCTTGCTGTCTCCGGAAACCTTCAAATCAGTGTTTTTATATTATCATTCATTATGAAAGGCCCTGTAGCTCCAGACATAACCAAAAGCAAAACCTGGATCCCGTATTGCGATGCCTTCGCAAAGGCATCGCATTCCGTATGCCTTTGCAATTAGTTTACTAATCATGACATAAAACTTCAGTTTTCGGGCATTTGTTGTGTATTTATCAGAGACAATTGGATACATTTGGGTGGTGGAAGACATAATCAAAATGCGAACGCAAGAACATGCAAAGACCTCTGCTTTTCATGGTAAACACAAGTATGATAGGCAATTGATGTGGATCAGGGAATGTCACCACAAGTAAATACATCGCATTCACATATGATATGAGAGACTTTCGATGACACTTGCATAATAAAAGAGCAGCACATGTTCGGAGAACGTTACCAATGAGTATCTCCATAGACCTCGGTATACAGAGGTCTAGTATCACCCAACCACCATTGTCTGGCAGTCATGGTTTGCACAAAGAACAGCAACATTGCACACACATAACCGGATGAGCAAGTTGACACCCACAATACTTCTGGCCTTCAGCCTAACTCAATTCTAATGTCTCTAATAACTGTAACTTCCGTAGCGAACGGGGGCGGGTCCGTAGCCGAAACCGCCACCCTTTCCGAAACCACCACCCTTGCCGAAACCACCTCCGTGGCCGAAGCCGCCACCCTTGCCGAAGCCGCCACCATAGCCGACGGCGTGGCCCTTGCCGTAGCCGCCGTAGCCGTGGTAGACCGGCACTGGCACATAGCGGTGGATGACCGGGACGTGGACGACGTGGACGGACTGGTAGCCGCCGCCGCCGCCGCCCTTGCCCTTAGTGGCCACACTGTCGAGAGAATAGACGCCAGGTTACCATGGTGATATGATGATTTGGGAGGTAGTAAAGGGAAAAGGTGAAATGTTCGAAAAGTTTTTGAAAAAAAAGTGATTGAGTTTGGCTGCTCAAATGGTTTGGTTATATCCATCTGAGCGCTTACAAAGCAAAAAGCATTAAAAAGTTCTAAGATAGTGCATTGGATAATTGTGATACTAGACTCGTGTTAATTTTATCACCAGCCCAAAAACTTACGTGCATGACACTGCGGCGAACAGAACGCACACGGCCAGGAGAGCGCTGATCTGTAACGAGGAGAAACTTTGGTCAGGGTGGAGCATGATAAGTGCTAGCATACATAGAGGGGCGGTTAAGCAGCATGTTTAACAACTGCTGATGTACAAAGTCGCTCCCTTTAGCAGCGTCATGCTTAATGCGAGATTTGGAACATGTTGCCGTCACCATCTATTTTAACAGCTGCAGAATTAGGGGGCCACTTTACACGGGTAGGCGGCCACCACACTGCTTAGCTAACCACTGGAGACCGCTCAGGCACTGGTCACATGTGTTTCCCATTCGCATGGGCACAGTCGCATTGCACACTAGAGAACACCGTTGATAGCACTTGTTCACAAAGAGCCGGTCTCGCTTCGTGTAGTTACCGTCTTCATGTTGCTGGATGGACAAGCTTGAGCTGAATGACAATTGAAGTCGCGGACAGTCTTTTATACCAAGTGGTAAACGACCCTGAAACCGACAACTAGATCCTAATTCCGAATAATGTGGGCGCATTCAGTAATTATTGCACTGAACTATGGTGATGTCGATTTTGCGCCATCAGATAGTGGTTGGGTCATAGGGAGCAAGTGACAAAGCAATATCACGATATTTCGACCTCTATCGAGGTGTAGATGGGCGCGAGTTGGCGATTTTTGCCGACCTCGGGACCACACCGGTTAGACTAAAACCCAGCCCAGATGGCGTAACGTCCGACGGACAATCGTAAGCAGGTTCATTATGTAAACGGGAGTGATTGAGTAAAACGAATAATGTACACTATGCTGTCATCAATGGGGGTAACTGATTATCACTTATGTAGCCGGTGCCATTGCTTTAGCCGAGTAAGTACGGTGTTTCATATGACTGCTTTTCAAGTCGTCGAATTATAACAGACTCGGAATGCTTCTTGTCGCCATAGGTGGCGGAACGGGGAGGGCACCAGGGCATCGTGCCCCCCTTTGATTTTAGCATTTTAACATTAGCCCTATATGGGCGTTGCAGGGAAAGAATGGGACCAAAAGTCGGCAGTCGGGGGGGGGGGGCCTTAACCCGCGCCCTGGTGGGGGGGGGCTATTTTTTGCCCCCCCCCCTCAAGACTTTTCAATATATCTCCAGAACCGCTGCGCCGATCGTCACCAAACTTTCGGTACCCTCCCGGACATCAATTTTACACATTGTGACCAAAATTTTTTCCAAAGGCTATGATAGGTTGGCCGAAAATGACGTCAGAGTGACGTCATGTTCTGCCGTTTTCGACCCAAAAAAGGGTTTCGCGGGAAGAGCTGTCAGGCCTATAGCTTTGCAAATACAGAAAAACGATAAGAACATAAAAGCTGTAAAATTGACAGGGCTACAAAACCGCTATCTCGAATTTTTGAAATTTTTGGATTTTGACCCCCAAAAAACAAAACATAATTTTTTTTTAATATAATAGCCGAAAAATCCAAAAAGTTTTTAGAATTTCGCAAAAACCGGATCATATGTGATAGTCCTTACCGCCTTCTATCCACATACCAAATTTGAGATTGATACCTCTTTTTTTGGCGAAGTTATAGCGAAAAAACTGTTCAAAGTTAATGACGTCAAATTTTCAAACTCAATTTTTAGGAATTCTAGACCCCGTAGCGCAAAACAAAGACCACCATTAGACTCCCCGTGACGAGCTGCATCGAAGCAATACCCATTTTATGTAAAACTATCAACTTTAAAATTTGACTTTTTTTACCTGACCTTGACCTGACCTTCACCAGAAAGTGACCTAAGCCGTACCTGATAGTCTTAAAACCAGCACCATTGAGTTGGAAATGAAAATTGGCCATAAAACATGCATCGCACAACCTTAATACCTAAACTTAGGTTCATGTGACCTGACCTGTGGCCCTTGGTGACCTGACCTGTGACCTGACCTGGTATTGTCAGTGACCTCTTATAGCAGCATATGTACTAGGTAACTGACGCCCTATCGCTGATTCTCGACAAAATGCGCTTTCTTCGGTGTTATAGCGCATTCCCTAGAAGACCCGTGAACGGTGAAACATTTCATCTTTGACCTGACCTGTGACGTCATCGGTGACCCCGAGGTCAATGAAATTTGGTTTCCATCGACAAATTTGACAGGCCTTTCGAAGGCCGTTTGAATTTTTCGGATTCGTCCAGTAGTTTCGGAGATACGAGGGGGGCAAAAATAGCCCCCCCCCCCCCCACCAGGTCGCGTTATAAACAGAACCCACCAGGGCGCGGGTTAATTGAAGGTGTTCCGCCGCTACTGCCAGGGGTGGAGAATTGTCATAATCTCAGGGGGTGCTTTTCTAGCATCTGGCGAATGGAAGCTTCGAAAGCTTGCGTAGAAAAGCATGTGTAGGTACGTTTTCCAAGCAGCATCACACTCCTCGCGGCTTACGCAAAGCAGTTTGTGTCTCAGACGTAAATTAAGCACCCCTGGAGCACTATTGCACGGTGACTTTTGAATTTCAGGGGGTGCTCGAGCACCCCCAAAACCCCTAATTCTCCACCCCTGGCTACTGCTTGTCGCCTATAATGCCGAGCTACTGTGTCGACTTCAACTCTGAACAAATACTTAACCCTCACCCGCACATGCCATTTTCCCATCCTAGAACGCACTTGGGGGAGGGAGGCTGCCACCACTCGCGCCATTTCGTTCTTGCTGGAGATAGAGCTTTGCGGAAAGACCAACAGATTCTTTGGTATGAGACGAATCCAATGGTACCAAATTTTACCTCATTGTGACAGTCATTGCCCTTCCAGGTCAGGTCACTCTTAAAAATGCTGCTGTTTGGGGTCACCCTTGGAATATCACGTGCGGTGCCCATCATATACCGATGACGCTGCCGTATTGGTGTCAAGCCAGCTAGAACAGCTCTTTGTAACATGCTATCCGACTAAATTTTTGCTGGCTGTTTCAGGTCGGAATCGGAAATGGCTAATCACAATAAGGAAATAAAATATTTCACTTATCTTCAATATTGCTAGCCTGGATTTGTGTTTACCTAAAATTTATCCAATGCTGCACTGATACTCATTGCCTGTCACGTTTCTCACGTTTCATTACCCAATGAAACTCACCACATCACAAAATGACTCCTTTCCTACATGTTTCCACACGCCTCCCCCTCGTATTCTCTCACTCTCTCGCTCACTCTGACCTTCAAACACCACAAGCAAACGTAAACAATGAGTAGGTAGTATGGAAACCACGTGCTAACTTCATTCATAAAATAACCTTCAAATGATACAAACAAAATACATGAGTTACCGTGGATTATCACGTGACCTTATCAAGTTTTTTTCTTGCCAAAGTTGAAACAATGCAAATCACAAATAACCTAAAAACAAATAAAACAAAATACAAATGAATCTTCTTGCCATGATGTTTTATCCTTGGTATGAAGTTATTAAAAACAAATGCAACGAACATTCATTACTATAAAGTCACGTGACTTTTTCCATATCAAATAATGAAAATAGTCAGCCTTGGGCTTCCCTCACATGGGTTAGTCCGCCTCGTTTCAACGCCAGCCAAGAGGCGCTTGTTGCGTCGAACTGGTGAGGTGCTGGACATTGATTGTGCTATTTTCTGTTAGATTAGACATACCATACTTGAATGAATCTAGTAGAATGTACTGATTCAAATGGATCTCTTGATACTATAATATTTAATCCCTTCCAAAGATTAGCATCATCTGATCTGCACCTGACTCATGAAAAATTTGAAGAACTGAGATCTTCATGCAAATATTTCTCCCTTCCCCAAACACAAAATTTGAAAACTACTCCTGACCTCAACCAACTCAGTATCCTGCATGTTAACGCCAGATCTATTTCATCTAATGACAGATTTGATGAATTCCAGCTTTTCCTACAAAGAACACAATGTACATGGCATTTCATATGTGTCTCGGAAACATGGTTATCAAATGAATCAGTAAATAGTCATCAGCTTCCTGGTTTCACAGGATACTTCAACAACAGGGTCGGAAGGAGTGGAGGAGGAGTTGCAATTTATGTCAATGATAAATATGTTAAATCCTCATGTGATATAAAATTAAGCACAATGTCATGCACCCAATCCCTTTTTATTGAATGTCAAATAACAAGCATAACTGGAGTGATTGTTGGCATTATATACAAACCTCCTGATTTGGTAAACAACTTGTTTCTAGATGAACTCACAGCCTCTCTTGAACAGATTGAGAAAAAGAATAAATCAACATTTATTGCTGGTGACTTCAATTTTGACTTACACAATATTGAACAGGACAGTGCATGTCTAGAATTCTTCAACATCATGACTTCTCACAGCTACTGGCCAACAATTTCAAAATCAACAAGAGTCTCGGAGGACAGATGGTCACTGATTGATAATATTTTTTGCAATAACCTTGAGCTCTTGTCCTATTCTGGCATCATATATGATGACTTTTCTGACCACTTCCCTATATTCACATGCTGTACTAAAAAAATCAACCCACCTGAAGACAATTGGATTACCACCTTCAATTATAACAAAGTCACTGAACTACAAGAATACCTATCCCAACAGCTCTCAACATTCCATACCATCCCTGATGCAAATACTGCAGCTGATACACTTATCAATGCATACTCTTCAGGCATAGCATTGTTTAGCATTAAGAGGAAGTGTACTAGGAAAACAACAGCCATAAAACCTTGGATATCTTCAGCAATTCTCACCTCAATAAATACCCGTAGCACTCTATATAGAGAAAAAACAAAGAATCCTACAAATAGAAACAAACTTGCCTATCAAAGACATAGAAACTGCCTCAATGGCTTGATAAGGGAAGCGAAGAAAAAGTACTTTCAGGAACAATTATTGCTTCATAAGACAAATTCAAAGAAAATGTGGGAACTACTCAACAGTTGTATAAATAAGAATCCTAGAAAATCTGAAGTTTCTACTGCTTTCAGTGATGCGCATGGAAATCCCATTGAAGACACCAAGCAAGTAGCTCACTTATTTAACAATTTTTTTCATATCAATTGGTGAGAAGCTTGAAAAAGAAATCCCAAATACCAGAACTGATCCCCTGGATAGTGTCACTTCCAGTGAAAACACATTTGATCATTTTCACCCAACAAATTCTGCAGAATTAGACTCCATGATAAGAAATATGAAAAATGTTGGTGCTGGTATTGACAACATCAATTCAAAAATATTCAAAAATACATATTCAGCAATACTCAGTCAATTGGTTCATTTAATAAACATATCGTTGAGTACTGGAACATTTCCTGAAAGTATGAAGATGGCTGTGGTGAAGCCATTATACAAATCTGGAAGTAAAAATATATTTAGCAACTATAGACCCATTAGTATCCTTCCCTATCTTTCCAAACTTCTAGAAAAGATTGTACACCAGAGAATCAATGCATACCTCATACAGAATGACATATTATGTAAGGATCAATTTGGCTTTCAAAAATCCTTATCAACATACATGCCTATAGTACTCCTGCAAGAACGAATAACAAAAAGCATGGAAAATGGGAAAATGTCCTCAGCGGTATTCATTGACCTTAAAAAAGCATTTGATACAGTGAACCACAACATACTCATCAGCAAATGTCGTAAATACGGATTTACTGGTCGTGCTCTTCACTTTATCAAGTCATATCTCACAAACAGACAACAATGTGTAGAATTTAAAAGTACTAGATCCTCTTTTCAAAGTATTAAGCTAGGAGTGCCCCAAGGCTCTATCCTAGGCCCCTTACTCTTCCTTATATACATAAATGACTTAAAAAATGTATGCAAAAAATCAGAATGCCTTCTATATGCTGATGACACAGCCTTACTTTTTGAAGGTGAAAATACACAGGAACTACAAGAAAATATGAATAAAGAACTTGAAGCTGTATCCATTTGGCTTCAAGCAAACAAACTCACACTCAACGTACAAAAAACCATTTACCAAGTATACAACCAAATGGGTAATATCATTAATTTGAACATTATGATACATGGTGAAAAAATTGAAATAGCAGAAAAAGTAAAATATCTAGGCATCACTATTGACCCTGCCTTGAAGTGGAAATACCACATCGATAACATAGCAATCATTATCAGTAGAAATATTGGAATCTTGAGTAGAGCGAAGTACTTTCTTCCTGAAAAATCATTACTCTTGCTCTACAACTCACTGATTCTTCCTTACTTAAACTTTTGCTGCCTAATCTGGGGTTTCACATATCCAACTTATCTCCACAAAATCGAAGTATTACAAAAACGAGCAGTTCGAATTATAGTAAATGAACATCGTCTTGCACATACTATGCCCATATTTCGTAAGCTCAATGTTCTTAAAGTAAACGCACTAGCTAGACAACAACTTATCATGTTCATGTATCGAAAATTCGCTTCACATTTACCATCACAACTTAACCAATTGTTTGCTACAGTAGATCAGGATAATATAAGAACAAGAAATAGACAACATTTTCACGAACCCTTCTCGGCAAAACGTTATCGTGCACAAATAGCATCATGGATAGGACCGCGTGTCTGGAATAATGTCGTTGCATCCCAATTCTCTATAACAACCATTAATCAGATGTCTAAATCTCAGCTAAAAAGACACGTCAAAGCATACTTCATACAAAATATGTAAGCTTTCTCGAGAATTTCCTCTTGAATTCTCGCTATCCTTTCATTGCAACTTAATTTCAAATGTACTTGCCTCAAAACTGCACTAATTGCAAGTAAATCACGTTTCATCGAAATTATTTTCATCATCGTCACCATGAATAACTCTGGCGCTGGAGCAAGGAGCCTGACCAGCAACAAGCTTCGCTTAGCTGGAAAGGCTTTTCTGCCCTCAGCATTGACCGGCCGAATTTTTGACCAGAGCGAATCCCCACGTATGTTTGCATGACGTGTGAATGAGCGATTGTTTTTTCTACTCTAGATGAATGCATGCCCTTCTGAGTGAATGTTGCTTTCGGTATCGTAGTAGAGAACAGTCATCTGTCTGGTTTTAGCAGTGGCTACTTTCGCATTCTGTTCTTGTCTCCGCCTAAACCCGCTACCCCTTCTCTCATTTGCTTTTTTTAGTTTTATTTCCTTTCTTAGCAGGGAGTGCCGCGACTTATCAGTTTATTTTATCTGGTGTTAACGTAAGGTTCTGCTAGTCGCTGGGTTTGAGGGCGGGGGCACTCCTGGTCACCTGATCATGGGTGGCGGAGTAGTTCGAAAAAAAAGGTCAAGTTAGGTCAAGGTCAATGATATGTGTATTGTGTATGTCTTTGTGTGTCTGTGTGTACCTACCTATACTGATGTGTGCACCGATTGGTTTGTGTGTCCCTATTAGGTAGGTACATGAGATCATGAACTGAGATGCTTTTACCAAAAATGCAGTCAAAGAAACTTCACGAAAAGAAAATTCAGCATGCCTGAAACGCAATGTTTTTAGATGACCTAGGTTGACCTTGACCCTGACCCTCCATAGGGATAGCCCCCCCCCTCCATAGGAATTTTCGCGATAGCTGGGGAACACGCCGACGATAGAGAGCTGAAACTTAGCATACCTGAGCTTTGATTCAAGCCAGATCTTGTGACACCAACCGCATTTTAGGTCAAGTCAGGTCACTGACCTATGGCGTCATAAGTAAACCTTTGCACGGTCCTCACATATCGCAACTTCGCAACCCCATCAGTACCAGAGGAACTTTCACGGGAAATGAAACTTACAGGACGTAGCATCGTCCAGAGGTCTCACAACTTGTATCTCAGATTTTTCCTAAACGTCACATGAGGTCAAGTCGGTCACGTGACCTCACCATTAAAGTTTTTTTATCCCATGAGTTATAATGGAGAGGTCTGAAAATTGACCTCATCTTAGGTCACCGATATCGATATTCTGAGATATGCATTACATGCATACTGTTACTCTTAACGATCGTTTAAAGTTTCGAAGCGATCATTCAGTGTGGCTATGTAGCGAGCATTCTAACTTTGTGGTAAGGTCACTTGAAGTGACTTGGTGACCTGATCTTGGGCGACCTAGGTCTGAACTTTTCACAACATTTGTAGAAAAGATGCATAAATGGGTGTGTCAAAAACAGCGGCGCTCAGCGCGGGCTTACAGTCAATTAACTTCATCAAAGAGCAGTGACCTTGACCTCATGCCTGACAAGTGACCTTGACCTCCGCCATAATCTTGAGTACAAACGCTGTTTCGCAAGTTGGCAAGTTTCTCGCCACTAACAGTTTGGAAATGCAGGCATAAATAATGGGCACTGATAAGCCGTATGTACGTCGTAACGCAATGCTGCCTCACATGCTCTTGGGAAAAAGTTTACAGATCGAAGGTCGTCTGCGTCAGAGTCAGAAATTTTCGGGGTATATTTAAAATTGATAACACAAGGGCAAATAAAGTTTTGGTTGCAATTAATCGCATTTTAAAAAGAGCTGTTGATAAAAAATTAATAGGTCCATCCGAACCCTCCTCAGTGCAAGAACTCGTTACTGATAGTCGTGGTTGGACTAACAGAGCTGTGCAGCTCAGCCCTTCTTTTTTCGGTAGCTGTTCATGCAGTTGTGTCAGTTCTTTGGAAGCTATGTAAATACGTTCACACTACAGTTGTTTTGTGATTTGTGTAATGGTGATGTGTTGATTTGCACGTAGCGTACCTATTGCGCATTTAAACTCGATTTGTGTAAATGTAAAAACGAGCTTGAGCCGTCTCTGCAGCAAATGAATGTGGTAAACATACATATTTTACTTCATTATTTATTGCATTTGAAGTAATTCAGTGGCATAGGTTGAACATAACAAAACATAACTATTGAAGCGTCTTATTATATCCAACAAAACAAACCACGCGAGTATTTGCTCTCGTGACGGAAACAAGACAACGTTCACTGACTAGGTGACGCGCAGTAGCACTCTCTTTGATAACTCTAGCACTCTCAGACGGACAGGAGCTCAACTTCTTAGTAGGCACCGTGGCCACCATATCCACCGTGTCCGGCGAATCCACCGTGTCCGGCGAATCCGCCGTGTCCGGCGAATCCGCCGTGTCCAGCGCCGTAGCCGCCGTAGACCGGAACCGGCACGTAATGGTGCACGTACTTCGGGAACAGCCACTGCGCAGGGATGAACTCGTACTCGCCGCCACCGCCGCCGCCGCCCTTGCCCTTGTGGCCACCCTTGCCCTTGCCCTTGCCGCCGCCGCCGCCGCCGCTGTGCGATTCAATCACCACAGTGTGAGAGTGTCCGTGGCCGTAGCCCTTCTGGCCGTAGCCGCCGTGGCTCACGCCGTAGCCGCCGTAGCCGCCGTGACCGCCGCTCAGGCCGTAGCCGCCGTGGCCTCCACCGCCATGGCCGTAGCCGTAGCCCTGGGCGTAGCCGCCTCCGTGGCCGTAGCCGCCGTAGCCGCCGTGCTTGCCGTAGGTTCCGTACGAGCTGATGACGCGGACGTACTTCTCGCCGCCGCCGCCTCCCTTGCCCTTGTGGCCGCCGCCGCCGCCGCCACCAAAGGTAGCTAGCCTGCAGGAATAACAGATTTCGGTCAGTTGATGGAGGCAAAATCAGCTGCGGTCGAATGGGTTAGTTTGAAGTGTGTACATAGATATCCGACTGCGTTTCAGTTGATCATCAAAAAGTTTCTTTTGATTCTTTTTACGTCACGAGCATGCAATTTGCAAAAGAGATTATGATCAATAAACTGTTTTCAATAATTATCTTCTATAAAAGCTACTATTTTCTGTAACATTTGAATATTTTGATCGTGGAAACGTCGGTGGTATTGTTACTTACGTCAGCTGCGGGGCGACGAGGAGGACGCAGAGAGCTACCGTAAACTGCAATAAACGAGAGAACAAAAGGGCGTTAGCGTTAGATGGGCACGACAGGGCAACGACTCTTCGGTGAGCTAGATATTTATGACAAATAAGGGCCATTAGTTAAAATTAATGCTAATTAAACTCAATGAGGAGAAAAAAAATGATAGATGAAAAATTTCTAGTTTGAACTAATGGTCTTGTTCTGTCATTTATTCAATTTAATTGTGAAAAATGGGATCTTTCATGAGTCTTCAATTTCATCAAAAGCACTTTAATATTTTTTTAGAATTATTCTACATTACAAGAAGGAAATGATAAAGATGGGCAAAAGGTGAAACAGCTAATGTCTTTTAATTGGCAAAGTAAAGCTAGCTGGAGCTGTTACCGAGTTCATGTTGCTGCAGAAAATGATGCCCTCCTCCCGGCGTCCGGTGCTTAAATACTGTGTGAAGTTCTGGCGCGGCCGAATGTAACTGCAGTCCAGTGTGAAGTAATCCGCGCGCCGTGCGGGGTCTGCACAATCCGCCGACGGGTCCAGGCCACCCGACCGCCCGGTCACGCCCGTTACGCAAACACGCGCCGCTCTTTTCAAAATCAACCGAGGTCACTTCCACTTTCATACCAAACCGGATAACGAAGGCAGGGAAGATGTGATACAGCTACCGGAGACACCTTATCGAGCAATCGGCACCGTTCGCCACCCTGCCACCGTTTGCAAGACAGCTGACTGCATTCAGTACAGGCGGCTAAGTGTCAGATCTGTCAGCTCTTTTATTGACCAAATTATTATGTTCCTGAATGTGTTTGACTTCACGATAACCATAATGTAACGGCTGCAACGCCATATGATGCATCATTCGACTTGTCGTTATTAGTGGATCACAATATGCTTGAACTGATTGAATACCCTAAGTGTTTATTTATTTATTTATCTTTTTTGGCGAAAGGCTCGAAACACACCTATTCTTATTTATCAATATTTAGGTACGTACTTACATGTAATTGCATCTGTATGCGAATGGTGTCTTACGTCAAATCTGGTAACACTTCACAACTACAGCGAAAAAAATTGCTTTGAAGACAATTGGCAAATGCCCAGGACGATGACCCAACCCTTTTATTGACCTAAATTGTGGGTGAAATTATTCTAAAGATTTTTTTATCAATGATGATTCGAGACTTAAATTCCTCTATTTATTACATTGCATTATGATTTCGTATGCAGCCCTTGGGAAGCGTAAAATATGTAAAAACATCCCATTCCACGTTGCTCAACTCTTGTATCTAACTATATACGGGGAAGGGATTAGCGCTGAGGGTCTCACGACTGGCGGCTGATTATCGCAAGCAGCATGTCTTGATGGAATCTAAATATTTGTGGTATGAAACCGGTCATTTATTGTAGCTTTATGAAACCTGTTATTGCATGATATAAGTCTGACATCATCAATAATTTCAACAGCCATCAACAACGCACAATACCTTAATGTTACAAAGCATGGTAGGTATGTAGGTAACTGGCCAAAGACTTGATAGTTGATAGGTGAACGCTAAAATGTACGAAAACATTCAGCTAAACTATTTGCGGCCAAGATTGGGAGTGACTTCCAACATAAGGTCATTGTTGGCCGTAAGTTTGGCTGACCTTTTGGCTGAGCTCGTGGAAAGTCAATAGGATGCAGGTTTATTTAATTTCTTAAATCTTCATTTTGTTTCTTCTATGCGACAATTCAAAGGTGACCATGCACACGTCCTAAAATCGCAGACCAGTTTCCAGTAGCTATACTTACCCACACGCTCACCGGGAACGCAGGGGCAGGCAAATCTGCATTCCGGACGATTTTCCTAGTCGCTCGACAGTATAATCCGTTCGTAATTCTTATTTACCCGGTTGATGTATTCTCGGTCGTTATCGCACATACTATAAAAACGCCATCTCGGTCTGTGATAATTTACGCGTCGTCCAATCAGCGAGCCGGGGGCCTCATCAGTGCTCCTACGCCGTCTGTGGTTGGCGCTCAGCCACTCCCCTGCCCTCTCTCCCTCCCCTTCCCTCCCCCGGGCGACCGACACACGAGACGCTATTGGTGCGGAGCGCGGGAGCTGCTCGCAGGGCGGGTCGTTCACCCCAACCAACGACCGTGCAGAGCTGTTTCACGGTCGGTGGTCGGTGCCTGCACTGACCCGGTGACACACAAGACTCAGACACCGAACAATGCCTACGCGCATCGGATGCATGCCGGTGATGGCATATGTGACGATGGTGGGGAAGAGCGAGAGAAAATAATCTAATAAAAACTGTTTTCTGTTTCATTTTTCTAACCAACAAAAATTTTGCTTGGGTAGATAGCTTGACAAATGCCAGTCTCTCAAATGTGAGTTCAGACATTAGTTCGCTGGAGTTAAAAGCCGCCAATAAAACCAGCAGCGCCAAACAGTCTGCTCAGCGTCCTTTGGCACCTTGTATTCCATTAGCACCCACTTAACGACTCGCTGTCATCGTGTGTAGTGTAACCCTCCAGATCAATGGCTGGCGCTCTCATTGACACCATTGAAATTGCTGCTTGATAAATGGCTGGTGTTGCTGTCGTCTGGCTAAAACCAGCAATTTATTTGACTGCATGATGTGGGAAGCCCCTTTTTAATTTCAATCCCTTTAAAAATACTCATCATTCCCACACATCGTATGACCATTGTCATATCACTTTGTATCGTTTGACGATGTTTTTACCCACTTTATTCCAACCGAAAACAAGCAAGGCTAGCACAAGTCTGGGGTATCGAAAAAGTCTCTTGCGGGATCACCGGTAGATGCATGTATTTTATCCTCACACTTCCAAGTTCCAACAACCAAGTTCCAACAGAACATGTAAACTACATAACAAATTATTTATAACTAGAAAACAACGCGCATAAATATCAGGTGTTCGGCCGGAACGGCATCCTTATCGAGAGACAGTGCCAGTCGCCAGGAATGCGGTTAGATTTCTGAGGCGTTAGTACACTCTCACAAAGTCTTGGTCAAAGAGCGCTCCGTCGATACCACTGGAGTGACCTCCACGTCCATAGCCAGCACGGTGTTTAGGGCGCAGCACTCCCACGAACTCGTACTTGTGATCAAGTCCGACCAGCTCCCTCCCCTTGCTCACGAAGTTGCTGACGCCTTCTTGGAAGTCCTTCCCCGCAGCCTTCAGCCCTTTGAAGAAGCCCTTGTGGCCCTCATCGCCTTCCTTTTTGATGATGACGTCAGTATAGTGAGTGACATGTCCTTGGCTCGCTGCCCCGTAGCTGTCTTGTGCATAGCCGCCGGGGTAGCTCAGGGAAGACCCCTTGGCCCCGTGTTTTTCACCACCGTAGCTTTCGAGTCCGTATCCTAAGCCGTTGAAGCCTCCCTTCCCGTAATCTCCGCTCCCATAGCCTAGAGGGCCGTAGCCTACATCGTTATAACCTCCGTGTACGTAGCCTACGTTGTCGTAGTCTCCGCTGTCGTAGCCGTCAATGCCGTTGATGGAGGTGACGCGAATGTAACGCCGGTCGTCACCTTCTTCTCCCTTGCTGAGTGTTCCGCTCCTGAAAAAGGGGCTTCATTCAGCACCGGTTCTAGGGAGGATTCAGACAGAATGCAAGGTGCATGCCACGCTATTTCTGCCATAATACGTATGCATAACTCATAAGTCATATGTACAAGATTATCCGGGAAAGATCGCAGATGCCATGGTGTTTGTTGTGTGTATAGCGGGCAAAATAGCGATCCAATAAACATGTATCACAATTTGCTTTTCATAATTAAGCATGAATTTAAACAGAGCATAGCTAATGATTTCGACAATCATACAATGCACTTTATCACCTTGCGTGTCGTCATAAACTGGGGTTGCGTCAATTCAATGAGACTTGATTTGGAAATGGTGGTGTCCAAGGGATGGAACAAAGGCACATATGCAAGTAATTTCAAATAAAGTGTCAGAACCTGTTTTACTTGCTGAGTAGGCAGATAAATATGCGTTACCAATAAATACTTACGCAGAATTTATGGTTGTGAAGGCGATGGCGCCGAAAGCGAGAACAGCCGTGATCTGAAATGTGCGACAAGTTTGTGTCAAATATGGCCGCTGATAAAACATCTGACTAAATATATGAACAGTAAGCGCCTACGCGAGGCAATAAAACAATAAAATATAATGATCTAATTTCTGAAGCATTTACGCTAGTGAAAAAGAGCGAGACATTTTCTATAAACAAATTAAAAAAAATGCAGCAGCATGCATTTATCTACATTGATTGAAAATGTAAAAATCGCTTGGTATATGGTAGGGCAAAACATTTAACAAATATAAAAATTTACACCAATAAATCAATGGAAATTGTTCTTACCGACTTCATGTTGCTGTTTGAAGTGACACCAACCGAAAACTGTATCGCGCTTTTATGCAGACGTATAGCAGCGTGGCAGTGACCCCAGAATACATAGCGATGACCGATACTAGTAGCAGATCAAATGCCAACAATATCTGATGCCATTCTCGGTCGCTACTATTGTATTTAGCACGGCTCCTGAGCAGCGAAGGCAGTCGGCCACGACAGTTGTCTGAGATTTGTTCCTTGTTGATGAAAACTGTGCGTAAAAATGTTACAGTCGAGACAGCGGAAGGCTCCAGTAAGCTACCGCTCCAAGTTTCTAGAAAGTGGCTGGTGTGCAAGTGTGCATATATCGTGTCAGACGTGAAAATGAAAATATCTATAATTCAGCGAAATATAGGTCATTGATGTTTACTAACTAATCGATACTTTCGATAGATCAAAAACAAAAAACAAAATCTATCGGTCATCACATATGGTACAATAATGTAGGCTAAAACGTGGTGCAGTCCTACCTCTTGCAACCTGCTACCGCAAGGATTACGATCAAACAGGCGTATTTCACACATATGACAAAACTTTCGGGACCAGTAGAGAAATTATCATTTACGCTAAAAATCACTCTAATTTCATTCCATGTGACACCCGAAGACGATACACAAACCATTAAGGCATATCATATATTGCAATTTGCAATGTATCACACAACATGCAATTGGTAACGAGTGTTTGCCCAACGAGTAACAATTGGCAGTAAGAAACAGAACCTGCTGTTTCTATCCACTGACGTAACTCCGACTTTCATCAAACTCCGATACCATAACAAAACCATCGCCCGATATAACGGCGTCATAGCAAAACGCAGAGCCTCAACGTGCTTCATACACCACATAACAATCGGATAAAATGCCTAGTACACACCGCTGTAGCCTCCATGCAAGTACCCCGGCCGGAAACCACCATACCCGCCGTAAGACACGCCGAAATGACCCCGGTTATAAAACTTCGGGCTCAGCACACCAATGAACTCATAATCATGGCCGTCTCCAAACACGCCCTTGCCTTTCCCGAAGAAGTTATTGAACCCGCTAAGGATGCCATTGCCGATTCCCTTGAAGAATCCGCCTCCCTTCCCGTGCGAGTGATGTTCCTCGATGATGAGGTTAGAATGGTGCCGATTGTACCCACCGTGTCTGTATCTCTGACCGAGTCCGTATCCGTGTCCGTACCCTTGTCCGTACGACCCAAGTCCTTGCGACCCGTGTCCGTACGAGCCGTATCCGTAGTCGTCGTCGTCTCCGTATCCGCCGACTCCGTACCCGGTTTGTCCGTAGCCCACCGGTCCGTATCCGTAACCCCCGTACTGGTAGCCGCTGGGCTGGAAGCCGCTGTGCCCGAAGCCGCCCTGACTGTAGCCGCCGTGTCTGAAGCCGCGGTGACCGTACCCTCCTGCCCCGAACTGGGTCACTCGGATGAAGGTGTTGCCGCCTTTGCCCTTGCCTTTGTGGTGGAAGGTCCCATAACTGGAATGAATGGGGAGGTTTATTGTTAGCATATAACATATTTAAGTGGATACAAATGTTGTGCAGGTAACCTCTCCGATAAACCAATGTCCAGTTGAATTTTCTGCTTAGTTGAATGAATGGCTAATGGTTAAAGACTTATGCGGCATCGCTATTAAAGTTGCCCACTTCCGCTGCATCGTTAGGATTGGAACTTTAATTTAAGATGCGGACACAGCGAGTAAACGGAGGCAACGGAGGCAACGGTCCGGTCCCTTATGGGTCGATCATGTCTTTATGACCTGCTTGAAGGACATACAAAAATACGTTTTATAATACAGGCATCTGAAAAATGAATGCTATCTCGATTAGACAATTAATATGATTTCCAAACAGCGTTTCAAACGTTCGAAATGTGTATGATACCTTTATTTTTCAAAGACGAGCAGTCTTTTTCCGAAACGAAATTGTCAATAGGCAACAGTAAAGGCACACGATTCATTAGACATGCATTAAGAAATGCCAAAAAGTATAGCAGCAGACCAACCTATCGGTGCCTTACCTGGGAGTGAAGGTGGCAAGAAGAGCGCCAAGGACAACGACTGCGGTGCTCTGAAACAGAACACAGAAGGTCTGTCAAACCACGTAGAGTTACCACGTAGAGTTACCACGTAGAGTTACCACGTAGAGTTATCAAACCACGTAGGTATACAACCGTGCGAAGCACTGTCACTGATCACTCAGAGTCCTTTAGTGATAGGAAATTAAGTAATTAAAGGAGCCGTCACACTCTTCTGGCTACGACAACTTCTTTTCTCACTGAATGTTGCACAAATTTGGTGTCGCGAATCACTGTCGTATAAGATGCATGAGACCACCGCCATGGGAGGCTGTGGTATCGATCACTGAGACAGGTCACTGCACTCGTAGGCACGTTACCGGCTTCATGGTGGGCGGTGGACTGGTGCCCTCAAAGGGTAAACACCTCAGTTATATACTGCAGGCTGCACAGTCCTGCACTACCTACACTCTACAGCGTGGGTCAGAGCTCGCATATTTCCCGCAGAGCGCATGATACGAACTTTAGGGAAGTTTTGCAAAGCGGGAGATCATGCACAAGTGTGACGGAACTTCTCTCTTCCGCGTGAGTGAGAGCGGGCACAGATGTAGGACACTTGGCAATGAGTCGGCAAAATACAGTTATGTGAGGTAGACAACCCATAGCTTTGCCTGGATACAAATTTGGTCGCACACAGTCTACATGGGATGGAGTGAATGCGGACCTTGCGAAAGTGGGCATGCACTGCACGCGTTCAAAAATGTAAAAAGTGGCATGTAGTCATTCGCAGCATCCGAGCTATTCAATGAATTAGGAATGTAGAGGCGAGCATAGTGCAGATGTAGACTCGTGCTGCAATATGCAAGCGCACATGACGCCTCCCGTCTCGGGGTGAAGATACCCCTACCGAAAATGCCGCGGAGTTTACTTTTCAACACTGCGCCAGGTAACCATTCACATAATCGTGATGAAAGTGATGATAATGGTAAATTCTGTTAAACGCATTTTTTTTTTCATTAGGAAAAACGACATGCATAGCAGCGGCACGTTCCACCGGGGGGGGGGGGGGGGGAGGGTACTTATTTTCTGATTGTAAGACTGAAGTTATTAGCCATCCGAGCGTTGCTTCAGAGTGGTTGTGAATAGATATGGGGGAAGGTGGGGTAAGACGGCCTACTGGGACAAGGCGAACCACCAGCCTTCCCGGCTGAGCCGCAGCTGTTACAGATCTGCTGCTTTATGCACTCACTAGTCACTACCTTTGTCTCCCTCCGTGCCAATGGCCACCTTGTGCTCATAGGGGCCAGGTCCCAGGATGCATAGATTTTGAGCTATTGAAAAAAATTGTTTTCGTCGCGTCGCAATGATCCTGTAAGGAGGCCTAAAGGCCCAAGGTTGGAGGCCTAAGGATGCTTTAATTCAGGCGCCTTTCTTGCATGTTTAACCCGCGCCGGGCCGGTGCTCCGAGATTCCGCGCCGGGCCGGGGGTTCTAACTCGGCTCCGGCCACGTAGCGACACGCGGTAAGCGGCAATCGAAAGAACGTCCAAAATAAGGACGAAAACACTTCGGTCATTTTTTTGGGTCAGGTCAAAGGTCAGGTCACCAGAGGTCACCAAAGGTAAAATGTTGACTATTTCAACATTTGTTGACTATTTCAACATTTTGGAAACTGCCGACGGCTATCTCAGGAACCGGTAGAGCTACAGCGCCGCGGAAAAGCGCATTCGATAGCCCTTTTACAGACCTTTTTGAATATTGCCCTCAAATTTGACGGCTCAGGTCAACGGCTTAGCCTCCAGAGGGCAAAAACTTCAAAAATAACCGTTTTAAGAAAAACGTTTTTTCGGCAATACCTTTTGACTCAAAAGAACCATGACATTACTTTTGCTAGCATCGTGTTCCACTCGTCGAGACGCGTCGAATGAACTATCATTTGACCTTGAAAGGTCAACTTCAAAATTTGACCTGAGGTCAAGGTCATGACCTGACCGGAAAAGGTCATGTTGCATATCAGTCGATCTGCAACGTCGAGCCGAACACATCTAAGGCGTTTTCAGCGCTCTAGCACGCCTCTATCAGAAGTTAAGCGAAAAACTGTTAGATTCTGTTCGTGACCTGAGATGACCTCGGGGACATAACGAGGGGTCACAGTTGCCATTTTCCGGTTAAGTGTGTCAATTTTACCTACATCTCGATGTTTTAGAGTGTCTAGAATAGCGTTCGTGCAAAACAGACGCTTTTCAATTTTCTCCCATTGACTCATAATGAAGAGGCCGCAAAATTGACGTGACCCTAGGTCACCGATATCAAAATTCCGAGATAAACATTTTATAGGTAATGTTGCTCTAATCAATCGCTGAAAGTTTCATGGCAATCGATCAGTCGGTGTAGCTATGACGATCATTCTTATTTTTTTCTGAGTTTAGGTCACTTGGCGTGACCTGGTGACCTGACCTAAGGCGACTTGGGTCTGAAATTTTCACAACACGTGCGGAAAAGATGCACGAACAGGTGTGCTCCGCGCCGCCGTTTTTTAGATATCTGCGAAAAACCGCAGGGGGGGTGTTCAAACACCCCCGGCCCGGCGCGGGTTAATTTTTTATTTGTACTTTGCTGTGAAAAACGATGTTATATGTAGTCACACTTAAGGACACGCAAGTTTTCGCAATGTTGAGCTATTTAACATTTACAATATGCCTCATGATAATGACCTAATGTCGATTTGGGGAAGACGGAGCACTGCGGTCCATCTTACCCTATATGGTGGTCCATTTTACCCCGCAAATGCAATCTCTTGCTAAAACATTGACATAAGTTTTAGCGAGCTATTTGTTTCAGGAAGAAGTCTTTGTTGCATATGAGCCATGCAATGCATGCTGCTGAGGTTAGAGAGCAGTGCACATATAACAATATGCATGCTCAGCTAGCATACATTTATGCCAGACGACAATCAGCACATATTTTCCTAGCTTTTAGTTGGTCATTCATTACATACATATGAGTATAAAATAAAGGCTTATTTTGTTATTTTATTACTCAAATTACTTCTACTTACAAGAGCACGGAGCAGAATATAAATGGATAGGTACTGGATGTTCCGTCATGCCCCGCGATTTTTTTCTTGTCGGTGATTTTGATATGTCCCTCTTTAAGAGCGACCACCACCTAGATTTCTTGAGTTTAAAATTCAGTCTTAACACATCAAGAGAGGAAGGATTAACCCTCGCCGGCACAGGCCATTTTGAGTCCTTCGACGGCACAAGGGGGAGGGGGGGTACGAGCCCCCTCGCGTTTGGCCCCTGATGGAGCTAGAGCTTCGCGGAAAAAACGAGCGTGTTGCCCGTCCCAAGAGGAAGCCAATGATACCCAATTTTAAGGTCCTAGGTCATCGGTTGACCTTCCAGGTCAGGTCAATGACCCAAAAATAGGGAATACCGGGACCTGTTAGAAAGTCGTAAAGTGTGGCTGGCTGCTAAGGGGTTTTACGGGGTACTGATCGCGAATATCGTGTTAGTTTTGATCACAGATGATGTCGTTAAGCGTTTAGACCAGGTCGGGTCAGGTCAGGTCAGGTCAACCGGTAAGGGTCGTGACGGGTATTCGTAGCACCTGTCATCCGCCTCTGACAGCTTCGTAACATGTTACGAAGGCACCATACTGCTTCGTAGATGTTCAAATGGTTGCTAAATTCGAATTCAGCTCCAAAAACTAGCCTAGAAACATGTAAAACTGCAAAAAGTGAACCGAGGTCACCAAAGGTCAATGACCTGAACTGACCTTCAGGTGACCTTGAAACCCACCCTAATGCATGGGAGCAACAGCAAATCACATGTTTGAAGGTTTGAAACTACGAAAAGTTTGCAAACGCGCGGCTAATGCGAGCCGACATGCGCCGAATCGCGATTCCGGCCAAACATGGTCTCGAAAAAGAGGTCACAGGTCAAAGGTCATTTGCGTCAGGGTCATGAGATTTTCAAGGTAGGTGTAAAATTGATCAATGCGAGGGTACTGAAAGTTTCGTCGCGATCGGCCGCTGTTTACGCGAGTTATTCGCGAAAAACTTTAGGGGGGCGGGTTACATCAACCCCCCTGTGCCGGCGAGGGTTAAAGGTAGCGTGCCAGCTTTCCTGGACCGTATGGAGTTAATGGCTCAGATAAGGAGAACCGGATTTTTAGAACTTATCCATACCTTCAAAACTCATAGAAACGTCTTAAATTCTTCAAATTTTGAGTACCCCAGTGCGAAATTCGCCCCGACGGGTTGTCGGTCGTACCCCAACCACATTTCACACCACTATGAACAATAAATGCACACACTGAAATCGCTATTACCGATATGCTCATCCAATCAAGTTTCGATAAACCCGTTCATCATCATCTCCTGCGGTTTCGAACACGCCTGTTAGGTGGTGCGGTAGACCGCGCCCAAAGCCAGGGCCCCGGTAACGTGAGGTAGCCGAGTCGGGGCAGCGTGCGCTGACCCAAGCCGGGGCCGCGCGTCCTCCCGGTGCACACAGCCGCTATCAGGGTTCAGAAGTGGCCAATACCCTAATTTTCGACAAATTTTAAAGCGTGATTTTCTCACATTTTCTGGTCGTAAATTGATCAGACTGTATAAAATATCATCCAGAAAAAATATTACTCATTCTGGCACAGATTGGTGGGCTCCCAAAGAACACCGTTTTGTTTTGCTCCGTGAGACCGAACTTGTGCTGCGATTTTCATGTAAATGTTGACGAGTCTCCTGTCATATTCTTTGCTTGAAAATGCGTAAGTAAGATATCAGCTGAAAGGGGAAAATGTGCGGAATCCATTGGTAACAAAAGTGCATCTAAAAAACTTCCCAATCAGTTATTATAAGCTAATTGTTGCGCACTTGCACAAAGCAGAAGGGCTTGAGGATTTAAATATTTACATAGGCCTACCAAAAAACGCACAGCGTGCTTCACATCGAGACAACGTCCATAACATATACCGTACAACTGTGATTCATTTGCTGAAAAAATTAGGTCGGCATCACACTGCCGGCAAAAGTTATTGCAGTTCTAGTGACGCTAGGTCGCCGCCCGGCCGACCCCGGTCAGGTCGGCCGGGAAGCGGCCGTGCAGCTGACGTCCGTGCGGTTCGGCAGCTGACCAATCAGCTGCGAGAGAGGAGCGCGGTCCGTCTAATCGCCCCCGGCAGTTGCTTGTGCTGAGGGGTGCTCGACGCTCGTGTCGATTGCATTTGTTGGTTGTCGATTGTCGAATGACTTGTGGGTGTGCTTTCTGGTGACCAATAAATGTACGTCGTCTTAACAGAATGTAGTCTGATCAAATTCAATAAAGTAAAAAGACATCCAGCCAACAGAATATCGTAAGAATGTCCGATATGGTTGATAACATTCA